TTATTTTGACGATCCAATTTTGAATTTTTTTATTTTCACTTTTTTAATTCGCACTTGAATATTTTGCATTATTAATATTATCATTATTATTCTCATTATTATTATTTTTATTATTTATATAATAATTAATTTTTATAACATATTTAATGAAATGAAACTACTCAATGAAACCCTGGCGACGGAACGCACTACAAACAGCGCTGCTCAGCTACCAGGACACCTTGCTGCGGCAGTGGGAGAGTACGTTTCGGTTTCAGTTTCAGTTTCAATTTCAATTTCGGTTTCAGTTTCAATTTCGGTTTCAGTTTCATGTCGTTTCGTTTGTTGGCGTCCAGCAAGAAATTATTTTTACTTGTTGACAAATTTTATTGGTCATTTTGGTAAATTATTTCATTCAACCAAATACAAACAAACCGACTAAAAACATTTGACAAACCATCCAAACGACCATGCAACCAAACATCCAACCATCTATCCAAACAAACAAACAACCAACCAATCAATCAATCAATCAACCATTCAACCAACCAATCAATCAATCAACCATTCAACCAACCAACTAACCATCCAAAGAACCAACCATCTATCCAACCCTCTATTTAATCAACCAACCAACCAACCAACCAACCAACCAACAACCAACCAACCAACCAACCAACCATCAATCCAACCAACCAACCAAACAACCAACCATCAAACCAACCAACCAACCAACCAACCAACAGTGATTGTAGTAATATCAACCGGCCAAACTAACTTCAAAATAGACGGACAGGACGCCCCTTCAACTACATACAAGGACCTCCAGAAAACATTCACCTGTGCCGAATACCGCAGAATATCTCGCGAGGCTAGCCTACTTGCCGTGCACATGTCTAAAATTGATACCACTGAGAACAGCGCCATCCTCGTCTGGTCCCAACAAGATAGGTTCACCACAGGCAACAATGATTCCTCAGGTAGTCTGACATGATTTTAAAATACTTTTTATCATCTAGCTGAAAATAATTATTCAATATTTAATTATAATACTAATTATTATTATTACTTATTATTATAATAATTATTAAAATATTTATTATCATCTAACTAAAAAAAATTATTGTAAATAATTATAATTATAACTAAAAAAATACTTTGAATAATTTTTTTTTAGTTATAATCTGGAAATATTTTTTATCATCTAACTGAAAATAATTATTCAATATTTAATTATAATAAGAATTGTTATTATTATTACTTAAATATTAAAATATTTATTATCTTCTAACTAAAAATAATTATTCAATATTTAATTAAAATACTAATTATTATTATTATTACTTAAATATTAAAATATTTATCATCATCTAACTAAGAATAATTATTCAATAATTAATTATAATAATAATTATCGTTATAAACTAAATATTAAAATTTTTATTATCATCTAACTAAAAAAAATTATTTTAAATAATTTTTTTAGTTATAATCTTAAAATATTTTTTATCATCTAACTGAAAATAATTATTGAATAATTAATTATAATAATAATTATTGTTATAAACTAAATATTAAAATATTTATTATCATCTAACTACAAAAATTATTTTAAATAATTTTTTTAGTTATAATCTTAAAATATTTTTCATCATCTAACTGAAAATAATTATTCAATATTTAATTATAATACTAATTATTATTATTACCTAAATATTAAAATATTTATTACAATCTAACTAAGAACATTTATTCAATGTTTAATCATAGGTAATAATTATTATTATCATTACCTAATTATCTAACTATAGTGTTGTTTGAGTTAATAATTAAAGGTAATAATTCTAAAATTATAATTTAAAAAAAATATAATTTACATAATTCTAACTTGTAAACAAAAAGTAAGATAAAGCTATGGAAAAAAATTACTATTTAGAAAACTATTGCAACCGTTAGAAGGAACGAACCTACAAGGGATATGCTAATGCAAACTTGCAAATAAACACACACACACGCACGCACACACACGCAGAAACACACATACACAAACACACACACGCAGAAACAAACACACATACAAAAACACATACATAAACACACATACACAAACACACACACATGAACAAACACACATACAAAAACACATACAAAATCACATACACACACACATACATACATAAACAAGCACATACACACATTCACACGTACACATAAACAACACACACACAAACACATACACACTCACACAAAGACACATACAAACACACACACTTCAATGTTTTATACGCACCACTCATTCACGAACAACAAAATTATTCAAAAGAGAACCAACAATAATGATAGTGGAACTATAACTAGTAATAATAATAAAAATAATAATATAATTATTATTATGGCTATTATTGTTATTATCATTATTTATTGTTATTATTATCACCAATTTCCATAGCTTGTTCAAAGCTGGTCATTGACGAATCCAGGGTTCAACAAGATCTCATAGAGATTCATCCGAAAATTTTTCTTATTCTTATTAATATTATTATTATTTTTATTATTATTACAGAATATTTAATATAGCGCCAATTTACAAGTTTCTCATTATTATTATTATTTTTATTGTTGTTGTTACTATTCTTATTATTGTTGGTTTTGTTGTTGTTGTTGTTATTATTAATTATTATTAAGTATTGTTATTATTACGAAAACTCAGGGTGGAAGTGCTGGACGACGAGTCCCGGCGAGAACTGGTACCGCACCGATTTCGACGACTCGACGGGTGGGAACGGCTTCAAGGTGGGGCAGAGCGTCCTGCTCAGCGGGGCGTCCAGCGTCAATGGCATGTACCCGAACGGTGACGCGAAATTTTTTTACAAGTTTGTGGTGGTGGTAGTGGCGCTTGTGGTGATGGTGGTGGTGGTACTAGGTGCTACTGGTGGGGGTGCTACTGATGTTAGTAGTGGTTCTGCTGCTTTTTGTGGTAGTTGTAGTACCACTGGTAGTAGTAGTGATGGTGGTGGTGGTACTAGGGGTAGTGTGTGTGGTGATGGCGGTGGCACTGATTGTATGTTTCGGATATCCATGGTTTACAGGATAAAATCAGTTGAAGGATTTTCAATTACTTAATGTTATAAACTGGTGGGGTTAGTACCACTGGTCGTGGTGGTGGTGGTACCACTGGTTGTTGTAGTGGTTGTGGTGGCACCATCTATCCATCCATCCATCCATCAATCAATCCACTCATCTATCTATCTATTTATTCATTCATTCATCCATCCATTCATCTACCATAACCACCAGACACGTTCGCGGGGTTCCATCTGGTCCTTTCTGGATTGGCTACCTCGGAAACGAACACAGCGACGTCTACTGCAGATACCTGGCACCGGGTGGGTGAATGGATGGATGGATGGATGGATGAATGGATGGATGGATGGATGGATGGATGGATGAATGGATAGATGGATGGATGGATGGATGGATAGATGGATGGATGGATGGATGGATGGATAGATGGATGGATAGATGGATGAATGGATGGATAAATCAGTAAATAGTAAGATAAATTTAGATGGATATTAAAAATTTATAACAGATTTCAAATTAGGGATAAATATATGTTTCAGTGGATAGATGTATGAATTGATAGATGCATCAGTAGGAATTGGTATATTTATGAAAGGATATATGGATAAATGTATGAATTGATAGATGCATAATCGGATATATATATAGGAATGCATAGTTGAATGCATGGATGGGCAATTAAAGAAGCAGATGAATACAGCAACTGTTTATTCTCATTCATCGTGTGCTTGCATAATGCATATTTTTTAAATCAACCCAATTTTATTGATTTCATGTCGATAGATTCTCAACAACACACAGCTCGAATTCAAGCATCACGTCATGCAAAATTTGCTTGCGACAGTTTGGAATCTCTTTGCATTCGAACAAAGTCACGGCGAAAGCATGACCAATCGCCTTAACCATTACACCATCCTGTCGCACAAATAAATGAACATCAATAAATATACTTTAATTATTTTTTTTGTTATATTTACATTAAGAAATAAATTTTTTAATACTTACACATTTCCAACAGCTAACTATTTCAAACTCGTGCTGATAATTGCTGGATGTTGTGGATTTCTGCTGCTGTTCGTCCTAGTCATTGGTGAGTGATCGTGCAGGGAGTGAATTAGTTAGCAGGGAAGGGGTATTAGTTTATACGGGGGTGGGCAAGCCACTTCATGTATATATATATATATACATATGCGGCCCTCAAAAGACAAAGAGTTTTCAAGGCGGCCCTCACAGCTAAAATAGTTTTACCACCCTTGAGTCCATAGATGAAGTTGTAGAAGGGGTGAACTATTTGCCAGTTTCGTAGATGAGTGTTTGTGTGTTGGGGGTATGTGTATGTACACTGCTATATTTACTGCTGCTGAGAAAAATAAAAATACTGCTGTTGCTGCTACTACTACCCCACTGCTGCTGCTTCAACCGCCACTACTCTTACTACTACTACTACTACTACTACTACTACTACTACTACTACTACTACTACTACTACTACTACAAGATTCAAAATTGAAAGAGATATTTATACCGAGATAAAATTTAAGTAGTAGGCCTTATTACTTTAATAACAAAGTTTTTGAGCAGTTTCAGCTGAACAAAAATTTAATAACAAAGATAATTTTTGTTAGTAAATCAGCCGTCATTTTGGTTTTTATATCGACACTTTTTCAATAATATTAATGAAAAATTACATTAAAATGTGAAATTTTAACTGTAAAATAATTTTTGTCGCCAGTTATTTGCAAAGCCTGGCGGAAGAGGAAGAAAAAGCTGCAGGCCGAGTAATGATATCCCAAAATGAAATTTTCTTTCAAATGGTGCTCACACACACGCACGCACATTCACGCACACACACACTCACGCATTTCCATACACACATACATGTTATACCATCACGTATTCACACACACATACACACACACGCAGACAGACACTCACACACACACACATACAAACATACACACATACACGCACACACACATACACACACACACATATACTTACACACACACATGCACACACGTATTATTTATACACAAGCACATTTGTTATTCAATACTTTCAGAATTTAAATTTATTGAATATTGTTATTTGCATGAAAATTTTGAATCAAATTTTTTTTTTGATGATGAGTGAAATTTTTAATTTACTTTATAAATTTTTAAAATTTGATTAGAGGTGATAATTTTCATGGCTGAGATCCGTGCAATGAATTCATAAATTTAGGATTGCCACTATTTAGCTTGTTTCAAATTAATTAAAACATTTTTTTTATTGGTTTTGCTTTATTGTGTAGCTTGTTAGAATGCTATTTTCTTGTTGCTGTTTTTTTATGTGAATGAATTAATCACACACTTTCATACACACGCACACACTCACACGCACACACACTCATTCACACACACACACTCACACTCGCGCAAACTCACAAATAACCACACACTCTTACATTGAAAATTTTGGTATAAAAATAATAAAACTATTGGAAAATTTTTGATTTTAAAGGGTCATAAAATGACGACCAAAAGATGTTTCATACTGTGTAAGAATGTTATTATTAAACTTTCTCAGTTTTGTTGCGATCCTATTGTGCACCTAAACAGGCAAGCTATGGACACACGCACACACAGACATATTTTATCAATTCAATTCAATAATTTAATTAACTCAACAATTCACGCTCAACAATTCAACACTCAACAATTCACGGCGTTGGAATGCACCTCCGGCATATTGATAAATTATATCAATACAGAAATGAATAACATGCATGTTTTATAGGTGGGTGTTTTTGGTGCAAATTTTTTTTTTTTGAGGCTATCTACGTTCATTGACAAGATGTCGGTAGCATATATAGTTATTTATTCTTACATAGAGTAAACACTGGATGTAAACAAATCACGTGATGTAAACAAGTTCATTTGAATAAAATATTGAACACAGACATTTATGTAAACAAACTTGTGCGAATGTAAAAGTAAACAAACGAACGAACGAACAAACGAACGAATGAACGCCATGGCTCTCCTTATTCCCTTCCTTCTACTCTGCTTGGCGATGCTTAACTCCTCCAATAGTAACTCGTTCACGAAGGGTACAGTTTTTTTTTTTTTCTCTGGTCAACGAAGATCGCATCAGCAATTCTTAGATAGCTGTGGTTCTTGTTGCCGTACATTATACAAGTATTGTTTATTGACATTCCTCGTGGTGAGATCCTTTGGTGTATCGTTTCCAGTCAACATTGTAGAGACAGAGTATTTATATATTTGAGAATATGGCCGCATGCACAACGTATCAATTCGAACGCCGAAGATGATATAGAAAGCTATATAAAGAGATATATATAGAAAGATAAATAAATTTAATCTATCATGCTTGAAGTAAATAGAAACTTGGGTTTTCAGTTCAAGAAACTTGACAATAATATCATTCCCATTCCAACAGACATGAAGTCAATGGTGAACAAGATAGCTACAGGGAAATACGGGCAGGATCTAAGTTTGACTCATATTGATGATGATGGTGGTGGTGACGATGATGATGATGATGGCGATGATGATGGTGGTGGTGACGATGATTATAATGATGATGATGATTATAATAATGATGATGATTATAATGAGCAAAAATAATTGTTTAATTTTAGTAATTACGAAATTTTTCTAGAAAAAAAATCCACAACAAATCGAGCAGCATCAACAACACAACCATCAACACCACACCAACAAAAAACAACATCACACTCACAACCAACAGCACAACCATCACCAACAACTACATCAACAACACATGAAACAAGCTCTATCACCAGCACAACCAACAACACCAACAACAACAACAACAACACCAACAACATCACCAACAACAACTACAACATCACCAACAACAACAACAACACCAACAACAGCACCAACAACAGCACCAACAACAACAACATCACCACCAACAACTACACTAACAACAACAACAACATCACCAACAACAACATCAACAACAACAACATCAACAACAACAACAGCTACAACAACAACAACTACAACAACATCACCAACTACAACACCGACAACAACACCACCAACAACAACATCACCAACAGCCCTCTTCTACAATGGCTACGGCAACACGAGCCTCTACGTCGACGGCAAACTCGTGAAGACTCCCCTGATGAACATGCAGGAATTTTTTGAAGAGGTCGTCATGGATGAGTTCCCACAAGTCATTGCAGTGGAGGTCGCTCGCTTCTACATCCTTCCAATGATTCATTGATTTCTATGAGAAACCTTTTTCATTTTTCATCCTCATTTTCATTTATCATTTTCATCTTCCTACCTCATTTTCATCTTCCTAATGCTCTGTTGGTTAATATGAGATAGATTTTTTATATAGCAATACAAAAACATTACGGTTTATTCTGCACGGTTTAACTGAGCGGCGAGATGGGCTGATGGTTAAGTGGTTAAGATGTCTGCTCCTTGTGTGTGTTGCAGTGACTGGGTTTGAATACGAAGAAATTCTCGCCTCTACTTCTGTTGTACTCAAATATGAATGATTTATACTGTATTACGTATTTGCATAAGCGTTTTGGTTACTTCTGAGAGAGTGAAAGAAAGAGAGAGAGAGAGAGAGAGGGAGAGAGACGGAGAGAGAAAGAGAGAGAGAGGGAGAGAGAGAGAGGGAGAAAAAGAGAAAAATAAAGAACATTATGACGGCGACAAAATAAAACATCGAAGGACCCCAACCAAAACCCTGTGAAACAATTGAAAACAACGACAAAAATAAACATCGTTAAACATCAAATCACCCACCAACAACAACTTCACTAACCGAGCAAAAAAGGCAACCTATTTTAATATCTTTCCCCTGCCTCAAACACTCGCCCTTTCAAGCATACGTCCAACTAAGGCCAGGAAATACAAAAATAAAAAAATTATACACACACATTTATCACGTATCATATATATATATATATATATATATATATATATATATCAAAATATCTAAAATAAATATTAACATATATTGACAAAAATATTTAAAATTTTCGATATACAAAACAAAATTAGATTAAATTAGATTTATCAATATTCATCTATAAATTGACAAAACATTTAAAATTTTCGATATACAAAACAAAATTAGATTAAATTACTAAGGGAGATCGTTTCCATGTTTCGACACCAACCCCCCCCCCCAGGTGATATCGACAACGCATATCGATCCGATGCTGTCGGTGTGGTCGACCAGCGGCAGCTTCGACACGAATGAACGCTGGAAGTGCTCGAACGAGCCCACTAACGGGTGGAACCAGATTGAGTTCGATTCGTCGGAGATGCCCCAGGCTATCGTCAAGTTTCGAAATACGTGAGTGTGTATCTCGTGTGTGTTTGTGTGTCTGTGTGTATATATCTGTGTGTGGGTGTGTGTATCTGCCTGTCTGGTGTGTGTATCTGTGTGTGTGTGCTTGTATGAGTGTGTGTTTGTGCGTGTGTGTGTGTGGATTTCTCACGCCATTTCCATGCTTTGTGTGCACCACTATCATCACCATCATCATTATCACCACCATCACTATCATCATCATCACCATCATCATTATCACCACCATCACTATCATCATCATCACCATCATCATCCCCACCATCACAACTTCATCATCATCGTCATCACTACCCCCATCATTACCACCAACACCATCATCACCATCGTCGTTACTAGAATGGATGATGAACGTTTCATAAATGCGTTTATTATGAAACTACCATGTGGGGGTCCCGAGACGGCTCTGTGGATCGGGGACGAAGATGAAGAAAGTGGAGCTATCTACTGCAGGCTGGATGATTTTGGTAAGATGAATTTTTGGTGATGGTGAAGATGGTGATGGTGAAGATGATGATGATGATAGTGATGGTGAAAATGGTGATGGTGAAGATGATGATGAATTTGTAGATGGAGAAGGGTGAAGAGATTGGTGATGATTTTGTAGATGGTGATGGTGGTGAAGATGGTGATGGTGAAGATGATGATGGTGAAGATGGTGATGATGATGATGACGGTAAAAATGATTGTGATAAATATTATATTTCATTGTAGTGATGCTTAAGCTGATGATGGTGATGATAGATAGAGACTAGTTTGGTGATGGTGATGATGATGGTGATGAGGGTTATGTCACCCTGCTGTTGGGGTGATGATTAAGTGATGTCGTTTTGAAAATGATTGCTATGATGATAATGAAGAAGTTTAATCAATTCAATCCAGAACTAGCCATGGATCAGTATACATTAAATTACGAGTTTGAAAGTAAGTAGAAGTAGGTCCATCAATTAGTCGGATGATGATAACGTGGCTGATCCATCATCTTCTTCCCACCAATCACCATCTCCATCATAGTCATTTCAAACATAATCGCTATCATTAATCATAGTTTGCCACACCACCATCATCACTTTGACCATGTTCGAATGCAAAGAGAATCAATCCACTTAGAACATTTCATATGTGAGAGATGCGTGGTTTCAAGCAGTGTCTGTGTGCCTTTATCTTTCTTTGTCGTGCCGTTGCCATGTTAACATCATTATCGTCATAATGGTTATTTACGTCATCGCAAAGGTCATCATCATCATCCTCATTCTCCTCCTCCTCATCATCATCATCTTCACAGTAACACCACAATCATCATCGTCGTCATCATCATCATCATCGTCATCATCATCATCATCATTACAGCAACCGTGATTATGTCGTTAGAGTTTACGCAGGTGACAATAGATGGTCAGATGTTGAGGATTTTAAATTCGGACAAGCACAATCTCGACAAGTCAGGACTCTTACATCTTAATCACTAGTCATCACTTAATCATTTGGGGCTAACCATTCATTTTAATTTATAGTCGTTAAACATTTATCTGAAACATTGCTAAACAGTACTATCATCATTATCGTAATCATATTTTTAAGCAGTATCATTACTATCGACATTGTTGTCATTCAATCATTGCCTTCATCATCACTACCATCATCACAATCATCATCATTACCACCATTATTTTCATCATCATCTTCATCATCATTTCGCCACCACCACCATCATTTTCTTCATTTTCATCATCATCATCCACATCATCATCATCATAATTTTTTCATTTTCATCAACTTAATAATCACTACCACCATCTTCATCTTCATCCCCATCTTCATCATCACCATCTTCATCTTCATCATCACTACCACCATCTTCTTCTTCATCATCACTACCACCATCTTCATCTTCATCATCACTACCACCATTTTCATCATCACCATCATCTTCACCATCATCATCATAATGATTTGCAGTAATTTCTTTTGTGCCAATTATGCGAACGCATCCAACACTGGAACGGTTCTTGCTGTAGTTTCAACAAGGTATCATCATCAGTGTCGTCATCGACATAACCACCATCGTCACCATCATCATCGTCATCATCATCGTCATCATCATCACCGTCATCTTTATCATCATCATCATTACTTACATTATCCCCATCATCGTTCTAATCAACGTATTGTCATCACCTATTTCATTTCCATCATCATTTCCACATCTACATCATCATCCTTATCATCATCCTCTTCATCATCATCAGCATGAACATCATCATCATCATCATAAACATCATCATAATCACCACCACCAGAATGCCAATGTTTGAAAATCAGGGCATGGCGCTTGCGGTGTGGTCCAGTGACGGAAGATATTCAACGTTCAAGGGTGATCACCATTAGATTTCTTAAATATTACAATTACGTAGACGCTATTAGCCATTTAACATGCGTGAACGCTGCTGCTGTTGTTGAAATATATTCATCCTTAAAAAGAAAGAATGAAACCTCGCTTCGTACATGCCAGTCCCAAGCATCGGTGAAGTGGGGAGGGTAAGTTGGAGTAAAGGTAGGATCTCTACCCGACACCAAGTTTAGATTAACAAAATCCAATATAAATTTGCGTGGTCAAAGCTAACCCGGAACCTCAATTAACAAACCCTGGAATGAACACTGTGCGGTTCTGCTTGCCAGAGTTGAGCGCCGATAGATCTAACTGGTTGAAATAACGATAATATGGATATGTTGTCAGTTGTTGTGTGAATGACGTTAAGCTTTTTTGACGTTATCTAGGCTGATCATCGCGTCGGACATTGAGTCTACATTTGAAGTTGTTGGCTGGCATCTAGAATCGGTGATAACGAGCGAAAAGGAAATTTTAGAAAATTGAATCCTTGTGTCGTGTGTGCTCTGTTTCTGTCTGTCGGTCTATCTGTCTGTTTAATAGTCTCTTTCTCTCTCTTTCGTTCATTTCTAAACTTTTTTCCTTATATAAGAAAAAGCGGTAGTTTTTTTCCATAATTAGAAAAATTTCATGGATTGACCTTTACGTGACCTGTGTTTGTGTGTCTGAGTAATTAATTGCCTGCCTAAACTGACTTGTCTACCTGATTGCTTTCGTGAATGTGTGTAAATTATTTGTGTGAGTGTATGTGTGTTTGACCGTTTAAGTGCTTGTTGACTGTTTGGTGTCATGATATTTTTCTTATTCCCAATGCCTTCGTTTTTTCTTTCTTTTTTCCTCCTCTCTCAATTTTTCAATTTTTCTCTCTCTTTCTCTTTCTCTCTCCTTTTCTCTTTCTCTCTCCTTTTATCTTTCTATTTTTTCAAACTTGTCAGGCCTGTGCATAAGCATAACATTCCTGCCTGACCATTCACTCTTGTACAGATTGGAAATGTTGGGACGAGTACCCGGGGGAAGGTTGGGACAAAATGGAGTTCGACGACAGCCATGGCTACGACGGGGTCGTTCTTGGCGTCAGTCTCATTCGCAAAACGATGAATCTCGACAATCTGTATCCTAATAAAACTGCTAATGCTTTTTATCGGTTGGTCGGTTGGCTGGTTAGTTGATTGAATAGTTAGTGGCTAGTTGGATGGTTAATTGAATAGCTGGTTGGTTGTCTGACTGGCTGGTTGTTCAGTTGGTTGGTTGGTTTGTTTGATGGTTTTGGTTAATCGGCTGATTGATTGATTGACTGATTGATTGATTGATTGATTGATTGATTGATTGATTGATTGATTGATTGATTGATTGATTGATTGATTGATTGATTGATCGATCGATCGATCGATCGATCGATTGATTGATTGTTTGATTGATTGATTGATTGATCGGTTGATTGATCGGTTGATTGATCGGTTGATTGATCGGTTGATTGATCGGTTGATTGATCGGTTGATTGATCGGTTGATTGATCGGTTGAATGATCGGCTGGTTGATCGTTTAGGTGATAAGTTTTTTGGTTGACTAGTTGTTTGATGGTTTTGATTGGTATGTAGATATAAGTTATTCAACTTCACTTTTACATTAATCACTAATCACATTAACGCACCAACAAGTGATAAAAATTGCAATCAATTAAGACATCCAGCATTTTGTCTTAATCATCATCATCATATCATCATCATTA